AGTCCAGAGATGGTAAGATCGCCGCGAGGTGTATAGTATAGCTAACGAAAGATCTCTCTTTTTATGCGGTTCATTCCACATTTTTTCCCCTTTCTCTTACCTGATTGCCTGCGTCTCCTTTTCGCGCGTACGTTCGCCGAAACGTCGGCGCGTCAAAAGGGAAAAAGCGAAATAGAGCACCGAAAAAACGCGAACAAATTTTTCCGCCCCGTGTACTGCGAAACCCCGTATAGCCCTATTGTAGGTTTAAGAGTCAAAAGAAGATAGACGAAACGGTAGAAACTAAGTAGAAACCGAGGGAAACGCGAACCAGTGAAAAACGAAATAGAAGCTATTACTAATCGAGCAAACGGTAAGCCAATTAAACGCATGGGATTAAGATGAAACGCTACCACGGCAAATACTTAGAAAACGAGAGAAACAGAAGACGCATGTACATAGCTGCTTGTTCATGGGGCCATAAACAACCATAATCGTCTACGATTGCTATCATCCCTTTTCGAGCTGTTTTCTCTCTGTTGTGTTGTTTGTTTTCGACAATCGCAAACAATTTGTAATCGCGATTTTGTTGGATATGTTTTATATATGTATATTTTTTTTTTTTTTTTTTTTTTTTGGGGTTTTTTTTTTTTTTTTTTTTTTTTTTTTTTTTTTTTTCTTTTTGTGTGTGTGTGTATTTCAGTATTAGTTCACAATGTTAGATTATAGAGAAATTTGAATTTTTAGATACGCGCATTCAGTTGAGATGGCTTGCAGAAGTATTTAAACATTTGGAAGGATATTTTTCCCCTTTCATCTTTCTTTTTAAAGTTTTAGTACCGATTTACAATGCGGATTTAAATAAGATGGTTCACCTTTAAAATATACATTGTGCGTGTTGTACAATATTTAGAATTTTCATTAATACGAAAGATGATTATCGGCGAGGGATCCGAATACAATCCTCAAGTAGGTCTTCGTTTACATATTTCCACGCATAAGGTTCGCGAGTTTAAGTTCCGTGTCGTTACCAAAGGTACGATCGAAGGACAAGTGCCTTTCGATTAACCCGAATTTGGAGTAAAAACGGCATTGTTCAACCTGGTATCGGAGAAAAAGTGTACTCGATCGTACGACAGAGAAGAAGATTGAGAACAATTATGAGAAACGAATATAAAAGTGAAACAATTTCGAAGATGTCGTATAGCTATTATAATTAATTTCTCCCTCGAGTACAACAATTTCTCGCCAATGTATGCCTTCCGCTATAGTTCGTCGCCGTTTCCCAACAACTGCAACGACATAAATTCAAAACCAGTAATTTCGTGGAAAGCGGAGGGGAAATAAATACCAACAAAAACGGGAGATCGGCGAGAACTGTAGTCGGAATTAAGGATAGCCGGTAACAAGTGGCGCTAGTGGATACGAACAAGGCCAGAAAACCGCGTAGCGGCGCAACAGCCAACGCGTAGAACAGAAAAGGCGGCTCCGATATGCCTGACCACCACGCCACGTTTCTTCCCTCTCGCACTTTGTGCTCGTTAAGGTCGCCGGTGCAATGGTCAGGGGCAGAGGCATAACTAAGCGGCCGTACGTGATGCCTGGCCGCCGGTGGCTGCGTGTGCACGCGCGCCACGAACCGAAGTTTACAGTTAGCCACTTTAAAAACACACACTTACCTCTCTCTCTCTCTCTCTCTCTTTCTCTTTTTCTCTGTGGCCGTGTGGTCGCGAGAAGGAGCGGCTGAACACGCTGAACCGCGTGCACGGTTCGCTCGGCGGAACGTGGCAGCGCGGGAAAAGAGAAGAAGAAAAGCTGTGTGACGCGCGCGCGATCGCCGGTTCTCCGTGGTAGGGGAAGGACAAGCGAGGAAAGAAAAGGAGGGACAAAAACGACCAAAGACGACGAGAGAAACGCGCAATCATCGCCGTCGCGAGAGCGGGGCTCAGAGAGGCAAAGCAGCAACGACGACGATGACGACGGCGAAGACGACTATGAGAGGCGGTGGTAGTTACGGAGGATAGCGATGGCTGCGGGGGAGGAAAAAGTGGTCGACTAGATTCTACGACTAGAGATGGGATCGAGCACCTCGTAA